GTTATATTGGGGTGGTGGCAAAGACTACTGTGCCTATCATAGTAAAATCATGGCGCAAAGTAGATGAGGCTACGAAGGCTCTTATTTGGGATACTATAGCAGTAAGTTACATTTTACTAAGTATATTTTGGTATAAACTATTTTTAAAATTAATGCATTTGATATATTGTTTATTTTATTTTGTAGTCAGGATTTGACATTGATGAGAGTAGGCAAGATTTTGTCCCACAAAAGGCTGGGAGGGCACTACGGTCTTTCAGATATTTCATCACATAGAAATATTTGAAAGATCCTGATGCTGAATTTGTAGCTCGAGTTCCTCCCTTATTACAGCCCTTGGTAAAACAAGAGGATTGTGATGCTTTTGTTGTCTCACGGCGTGAGAAGAAATTTAAGGTATTAATGTTTCTTAAATTTCAAGTTTGGTGTTATTTATTGATTATATGTGTATGTACTAACAAAAATTTTTGTTATTAACTCGTCAAGGAATTAAGTACATAGAATAAGGAGAGAGTAGCGAAGAATAAATATCCTTATAGAGCAGGGAGGTTAGGGTATGCAGGCATTGAGCAGAAACAATTAGAGGAGGAGGGATCAGAGGTTACCATATCCCGCCATAAGCTTTGGGCATTGGCACGCACTAATAAAGAAGGAATTATTGACAACCCCCGCATGAAGGAGGTTATTGAAAAGATTGTAAGTATTATATTTATCTACTACTTAATAATTAATTATGAATATCCAAACTAATCATATTTACTCTACACAGGATTCCATCTCTCAGGAAGTCTCACAGGGCAACCTTCCTAAGGATGAGGATATCTTGGCTAGGGCATTGGGAACTGCTGACCACCCTGGTCGTGTTAGGGGTGTTGGCTTTGGAGTCACGAAGAAGTAATATTTTGGCAAGATAAAAAAGCAAACATCAGCTTCTTCGTCTGAGGTCCAAGAGCTGAGAGAAGAGCAAGCCATAATGAAGCAGCAACTACTAGCCCAGGCAGCATTAATTGACATGTTATTGAAAGGGCAAGTCCTTGGGAGGACTTTGGGTGAGATTAGCTTTAGTCAGAAAGATAGCTGCACAGTCCCCTCAGAAAAACTACCTGAGGTAATATGTTTTACCTTATGAATTTATCTAATTATTTTTATTTTAGAAATTGATTGTCATTATTTGTTTAATTAGGGTGAGAACGATTGTAATTGTTTGGCAGACACTCCTGAACATAGAGTGGTTGCAACAGGGCATGTGTACAACATCCTGAGGACACAATCCATAATCATCCCCTCCTGCTCGACTATGTTAGAGTTTCTCTACTTGTTGCCATCGACCCTAATTATCCATTGCCTGTTCCTACTAATGAGGCAAAGACGGTGGGGGAAGCAGTAGGGAGCTTCATTGCATGGCCTAGCCACCTTGTAATAATGGTAACACCAAAGCCGACAAAGGACCCATTGCCTCCAAAGAAAAAGGTACAGTTTAAATAGTTATTTATAATTTTATAATATAATTATAAATATCTAACTTTTTGTTGTGCAGCTGAGAGGGAAGAGCAAGCTAAAAGGTAAGTCGGGACATACCAAAGAGTCAACCACAGTTTCGCAATATCCAGCAGCATTGGTGCCAGTTGTAGAATACAAATACTGTGCCTCTCTTGAGACATATGCGATGGCTATGAGGATGGCTTGTCAAGTTGCGATTGGGGATATCATTAGTTTTGATGATGGGCAGTATGGAAGATCGGCCTTGTTTGAAGTTGTTCGGGATGAAATTTTAAATGAAATTCTCAAGCACGAAATGGCCAGTACTAGTCTGATGAGCTTCTACATGAGGTATTTCTTTGATAATGCTTAGTTAATTACTTAAATTATATATATGTATGTGTGCACACGTGTGTGTTAACCTGGTTATTTTTTTACCTAAGCCACCTTTATACCTCATTTGTGGTTCCTTGCGGCCTTGAGTTGAGATTCAAGCTGATTAATCCCCACGATGTCTCTACCTATAATGGAATTACAAAGGAAGCTCTTGAAGATCAAGCAAGTCAGCTTTCAAATCAATTTAAGGATAGGGGAGCAAGCAATGATACTTTATTTCTTACTCCTTACTGTCAAGGGTAAGCTATTTTCTAGCTACTTTTGGTACAAGTAAATATTTTTTATATTTACTTATTTAATAACACTTGTTATTTCTTATTAGGGGGCATTGGATGCTTATTGTGGTTAACCCTGTTGCTTCAAAAATTTGGTATCTTGATCCTCTAAACGGAGAACCAAGCAATAGGCCAGATATGGTAGAACTTTTTAATAAATTGAATTTTTATCAATTTTTATTTTAATATCCATATATATTGAATTTCTAACATTTATTCTTTTTTTCCTTCTTAGAGTTGTGGTCTTGTATCGTACTGTGACCAACAAGACCTTGTCCCCTAGCTTAAGGGTATTAGACTCTTGTGAGACATGGGTCACAGTTAAGGTAAACCTAATGGACTAAGTTTTTAATTAACAAACCATGGCCTTTTAACTATTATTTTATTGATATGTGATTTTTTTTCACAGTGTCCACTCCAGCTAGATCAGAGCAATGACTGTGGCTATTTCTTGATGAGATTTTTGAAGGACATTATCACCCATGCCCCTACCACATTACCTAACAAGGTATATATTAAATTTAATGATACTTAAATTATAAATTTTAACAACTTTTGTTAGATAGCTATTAACTTGAATTTGTTGTAACTCTTTGCATACAGTACTTCGAGGATGCCTACTGTATTCAGTATGCAGCTGCACATATAGAGGAAACCCTTGAAGAGGTAGCTCGTGTCGTGTTTAACATGTGGATAGCAGTAGTGGTTAGGCCCAATTAGTTTTGGTATACACATTTATTTTTTCGGTCAATTTTATGTCTCAGGCCAATTAATTTTGAAATTTAAACTTGTAAAGTAGGTAAAGTTATAGATTTTTTTATGACATCGGGTTTAGAGTATAGGTAGATATAAGATAAATTAAAGATATTTAGATTGTAATTTTAATATAAATAATGATTCAATTATTTTTTATTGTTGGCTGGCTGGTATATATATTTGATTGCTTTATATTTGTAGGGGGGCAGCTTTTTAGAAAGAAACGTCAAGTATAAGTTTATTTGACGGTTATTTCAAAATAACCGTCAAATATGTATGAATACTTGACGGTTATTATGAAATAACCATCAAGTATTTGGCATATAAAATTTACGAAAACATATTTGACGCTTGTTACAAAATAGCCATCAAATATTACTAAATACTTGATGGTTATTTTAAATAACCATCAAGTATATTGCTGCAATATATGTAAATGTTTAAGTGATTACTTGATGGTTATTTTGAAATAACCATCAAGTAATCTCTAAAATATTTGACGGTTTTTAACCGTCAAATAAATATATGATGCCTCATTATTTGATGGTTAAAAACTGTCAAATAATTTTTAAAATAACTGTCAAGTAAGAGGGTATTTTGTAGTAGTGTCTTGCAATTTATAAAATAAAAATTATTATTCATTAAACAAAAGTTGTAATTGAGGCATGTTATTTTAATAAAAATAAAATTATTTTTACTTTAAATTTTATTGATATAAAAGTTTTAAGTAGCTTTAATAAAATTATGACTTTTTGAAAGGTATATAATTTGAAAAAATTTTATCATATTTTTTTTTTGAATATTTTTGTCTAAAATCAAAGGCGAATGAGCAACGCAAAGGCTAAAGAAACCTCGTCATCATTGCAATTTTGAAAAAGAAAACTTTGCTCCTTTTTCTTTTCCATTTGCATTTAGCCTTTCTTGCTTCTCAAATTTAATTCAATCCTAATGTCCTAAGAGAATGACAGTTTATGTGTACTACACACACACACATGATTTATACCTATAAAAACAGAATATGTTTACTGGTAAATGTTGGTCTAACGTAACATAATTACTAAAGATGCAACTTATATTCAAAAGGAGATGGATTTGAATTTTATCATCAATATACAAATTTTGTCAATAGATAATTTATATATACTTTAAATAAGTACTTTTTAAGCCTTAAAGTATTCCTTGGAGTTAATGAATTCTCGAAATTTAACTTATCTAAATTTTTTTATAAGCACAATACAAATTGCGAACCATTAATAAATTTGGTTGTTTTTTAAAAATACAAATAAATTTATATCATTAAATCTCATTTAAACCATTTTAAGACACCAGTGAAAATATAATAAAGAAATATGCAGTGGAAAGAAACTCTACACGTTCTGCTTTCAATTACAGGCACAATAATGAAGATCTGACCCACCTAGAAAATTTAGACAATTGAGGATATGTTTGGCCCAAAAAAAAAGTACAATTGATGATATAATCGCCATTTCCTATTTTTATTTTATATATTATCTCTTAAAAGGGGAAAGGATATAATAGAGAACACCCATACATGAACATGCATATAAATGTGTTCGATACCATATTTTAATTCTTAAAATTAAAAGTTTATGATTGACAGTTTAATTTACATATTATACTCTCCATTTAAAATTATAAAATAATTTAAGATAAGACTAAAAATATCAATAAAGCCCGATAACATCATTTTTCAAACCAAAAGTATGGACTTTTAAAAATACCACAAAATACTTAATTATAGCACTATAATTATTTCAATTATTTTTTTCATTTTAAGAGTAATATTAAAAAAATATCATCAATGACCCTTATTTTTTTAAATTGTCTTATATTTTAAGATGATGATATATTTTTAAAGTTACTTTAAGACAGAAGACTATTAAATTGAATTTTAATCTATATATGTAATTTCATATTTTGAGTCAAATATATTTCATATCCTAAAATATGATATATTAAATAATTGCTAACTGGATTCCTCATCCGTTTGGAGATTTCTTTTTGTTTTTTTTTTAATGGGTCACATAGTCATATATAGTACACAAGGGGCCTTCAATTATTGCGTGACCAGCACTAAATTATCGATGGACGAGTCTTCGTCAACCCATATTCCGTCATCTCTTTTGTGACCAGCATCAGAGGTTTCTTGCTTCTGTCAAGATTCTTCAACAAAGCCACAGAACGCGGGTCAGAATTTTCCCTTTTGCTTTTCATTGAACTTGTTAATCTCTGCGAAGTTTAGGATTTTATTAGTAATCTCTTTCTTTTTTATTTTAGGGTCAAGATCAAGGTCAAACCAAGCTGATCTTCCATGGCAGTATCGGTCTCTGTTTCTGAATCCTTGATGTCATTTCTGAACGATTCCCCTAGCGGCTTAGGCAAAGAAGAATATAGCATAACTCACTTAGCGGAGGATTCTGATAGCAACTTTGATGAGATACCCCGTGATCAGATCTACAAGGAAACGATGCTTTGTCGGCTTAACTTTCTGAGTAACTACAAAACCAAGTCGGTGGAAAAATCATTTTCTTTGGAAAATAGACAGCATGACGTATATTTGCTAACCCGAGACGATATTAGAAGGCCCAAGAAAAAATATGACTATCTGCATATTGGACTAGTGCAAGTTTTAGTCAGGCCTCTTGAATATATTGGTCGTAATCAGAGAATCTTAGTGTGCTTACGTGATGCGAAATATCCCAACTTGAAAGACTCAGTCTTAGCTGCATTAGATATCAGCTTGGAAAATGGTTTCTCAAAGTTTAATTGGTTCCCAAATTTCTCGTCATCTTCTTCTGATCTATCAAAGTCCAACGGGTTGGTGATAACTGTGGAGCCGCGTGGCCTTTCGACTCAAGAAGGTTATCGTACGTTGAAGATTGCACACAGAATGTGTTACAAACTGATGAAGGGGTCTCTTGAACCCAGATCACATTTTGAAAATCCTATGTTGGAGGTGAAAACTGACAGCATAGAAGTTCTTGCACCTAGAACCTTTAGCAAGAACTGAACTGAATCTAATGGTTTTGCTGAAAAATCTCTTTTCTGGCAAGCATATACAAGTGAGTATTTTAATTTTATCCTTCTTTATATAGTTTTTAAGAAATTATGATGAAGATTAATGTATGAATTAAGATTGATGATCTAGTATTCCATCTAGTTCTGGCGTTTGATGTGCTCCTGCTTTGTAAATCGTAGTTTGAATGTATTAGTAATGTTTATACGTAAACCAAATGATGGAATTAATATTTGGAATTATGGGTTTGATGTTTTTGCTATGTTTTGATGTGTTCTTGTGTCTGAGGAACACATTATGGAGACTTACAAATTAAGTGAAATTATAAGTGGAAAGGCTTTCTCAACAAGCTAGTTTTTTTTTTTTTTTTTTATGATCAGTTCTTTCTTTAAGTTTGTACTTATAAAATTGATGTTTTCAATGAGAGACCAGTATCATGGAGATTTACCTATGGAAGGATCTAACTAACAAGAGATTGAGTGAAGTAGAGCCATCAAGGATGTATGTTGGCTCTCGAATGGGGTGATATTGCCATGAGTCATATATCAGGGGTTACAAGTTAAGTAAAATTTATAAATGTCAAGGGCTTTTTTTCAAGTTAATTTTTCTGAATGAACTCTATATTTAAACTTTTAATGTTTATAAGCAAACCATAGATGGTGAAATTAATATTTGGAGTTCTTTTATTCTATTGGGAATTTTCCTTTGCAGTTCAGTTTAATTAGTTGATGTGATTTCTGATCATTTGAAGAAAGAGACGATAAAAGTAAGACAAAACGGATGAAATTAATTAAGGATATTTTCTTTAATACATCCTTATATACAAACGAAAGACAATGTTTTTATGTGACATTTCTTTTATCTCTACAATGACAACAATTTTCCTTCTTTTTTATTTCAAATGCACAATAATAAATTATCTCCTTTGTCCACGTAGAAGATGTGAAAAAATGGGAAAAGACCCTTTAGGTCCTTGACAGAGATCATCTGAGTTGCCTCGAGGATGGATTTAGACATATTTTCATGCTTTTTTTTTTTTCCCCTTTTAGTTAATTTAACTATATATGTAGGCTTTCTTAGAACCCCAACTTTCTGAATTCTTTTTTTCTTTTGGGAAAAAAAAAAGGAACTCCAACTTCAAAAATCCTTTTAAGGATTTTGAAGAGGAGAGTTCACTAGTAAATTATTGAGAAAATGATAAATATAAGTCCCTTCTAAAGAAATTTCTTAAATTTTTTCTAAAGAAATTAATCCCAATTTGAGCTATTCTGTATTGAGACTCATTAGGACCTTAGTATTTTTTTTAAAGGACAAAATTAACCCTCCCTCCCCCCTTCTTACCTCCCCACCTCTTTTTGACTGTCGTTGTTGCCAGCTCATTGCCTGCCTGGGAGCCGCCACATGAGCTGCTGATGCCAACAAAAAAATAGTGAATTATTATCTTCTTTTTTTTCAATAATTTTTTTTTTCAAATTTTACATGTCTATTTAATTAACTAGAGTTTTTTTAAGTTTTTAATTAACTGTAGTGACAAAATATAAAATTAGGAAATTAAATAAAAAATTAATTTGTACTCCCTTCATTAAAAAAATACTATAAGGCTTTTTTTATATTGAATGTTAAAAAAATATAAGGCATTTTTATTTTTTTGATTTACAATTAATGAGTTTTTTCTTCAAAAATACCCTTTATAAATATGCCACCCAACCATTTACCTTTAAACAAGACACCTTATGAAATAAAAGAAGATATGAAAAGATGAAATTAATTTAAAGATAATTAACTAATTTATTAGAGAGTGTGATTCAGTTAAAAGTATCTTATATTTTTTAGGAGTTCTAATGTTGACAAAAAAAAAAGAAGACTCTAATTCCTTTTTTTTTTGTTTGGTATGAAAGGGAAGGTGTGTTGGCCGTAGCAGTGTAAAATTTATTTGAGTCGTGCCTAGAGACATTATTCTTAAGAGTAATTCTGGCGTAATTGTCTGAGCTCTTCAGGATTAAGCGAAACTTTCCTGTAAAATAAACAGGGTGACAGAATAATAAAAATAATTAAAAAAAATTAAACTGAGAAAGCAAGATACAAGAGAGGAAGAGAAGTGCCCAAGAATACAAAAATGTTTCGCACAGGTCTCATGCATGCATATTGCTATTTATAGATATATACTCCACAATATGGTTGAAGCCAAAATTAACGAGCATTAACCCACCATTCAAAGAAGAAAATATTATCAAAACAATCCATTGATGTGATGGTTTTGGACGCTGGAGGTTTGAATCACATGATAATATAATATAATAAAAGGTCTTGAAGAGAATCCTTACGTTTCCAACACATTAAGAAAATAAATTACCATTATTCCACCGTTTGGACAAAATAAAATGGCATTAAAACTGAACGTTTCTAGACTTGTAACATATTGTGCCAAGGTAATTAAGGAACATAAATTTATTGTTTGAATTTGAATTTATAGTAAGATAAATGAAGGTTTTTCTGGAAAAATAGTTTTAAATAAATATTTTTAAATTTTATCAAAAATAGTTAATGGGGATTTATCTTTTGACATACCCACGCAATAATTATAAAAATCCCCCACATGTGTCAAAAGAGCCTTATCATCTGAGTTACAATTATAAGTATAACCATATCGAATCTGGTGTCTTTTGAACTATGAACCAGACCTAGACCAATACTACTTAGTACACAGAGAAGTTAGTGAAGCATGCTTTTATAAACCAACAACTCTTGGGTGTATACTAGAGGCCTTATCAAGTTAGATTATACCCCCACAATTTCTACTATTAATGGCAATTTTGCACTTTGATGGCCGTGCGCATGTCTAGTATTTCAACAAATGCTTTAGAGATTTAGCCATAATCTCATAGGAGAGGCCCCACTCTACATTTTTCTAGGTGATTTTATCAAATGTATCCGTAATTAATACACCTTCCATAAGGAATATGAAATCATTAAGAGCTTTGCTCTACCTCACTAACAATGCATTCTAGCACTTTCTCATACACCATAAGAAGAAGGACAACATAATTTTAGTGTTAGTAGAACTAACAAATGACTTGTTCTTACCTATATGAGCCTTCTTCATGGGATCACTAATCATAGAGGTTGGGTTACCATCACTGTTAGTTTCAAACTAGGTTAAGTCTCATTCCCCTCGATGTTTCTATAATTTGTTTCTTTTCTAGGGGCTTAGTTAATGGATCCACTGGATTCACTTTTGATCTTACATAATTGATTGAGATGACCCATTTTATTATGTTATGTTTCAATCGAATATCCCTACTCTTTCCATTAAAAGTCTTATTTTTAGCTGTAGCAATTGTTACTTGGCTATCACAATGTAAAGATATTGACGGTGCTAGTTTTTCACTTAAAGGAATATTTGCTAAGAAGTTTTTCAACCACTCAGCTTTAGTACCAGCCAATTCCATAGCAATAAATTTAGAATCCCTTGAGGATTTTCTTATAATATTTTGTTTGGCTGACCTTCAGGTTACTGCACCACCACCAAGCGTGAATATATACCTACTAGTGGATTTTGTCTCTTCTAAGTCTGAGACCTAGTTAGCATCACTGTACCGTTCTAATACAGCAGAAAATCCACTATAAAATATATCATAATTCATGGTACCTCTCAAATAATTCATTACTCTTACCAAAGCCATCCAATATTTACTACCTAGATAGTGTGTATATTTGCTCAATCTACATACAGCATATGCTATATCTGGCCTGGTAAAATTCATCAAATGCAATAGACTTCCAATAATCTGTGCATACTTAGATTAAGCCACCAAACCACCTTTGTTTTTAACTAAAGGAACACTTGAATCATAAAGGGTACTTAAAGGAGACTCATCAAAATGACCAAACTTTTTAAGTATTTTTTTAACATAATGTTCTTGAGAAAGAAAAATACCTTCATCCTTCCTTATGATTTTAACATCCAAAATAACTCTTTCTTCACCCATATCTTTCATATCAAAATTTGATGAAAGAAAGCATTTAGTTTCAAAAACAATATCCATGCTTGTACTAAAAATAAGCATGTCATCCACATAAAGACAGATAATCACACAATCATTATTTATAGATTTTGTATAAACACACATTTCCACTTCAACAATTGAAAAACCACCACTTATGAAAACATGATCTAATTTTTCATGCCATTGTTTAGGAGCTTATTTCAAGCCATACAAAGATTTAACCAGTTTACAAACTTTATTTTCTTGGCCGAAAATTACACACCCTTCAAGTTGCACCATATATATCTCTTCTTCTAAATCACTAGTTAAAAATGCAGTTTTAACATCCATTTGGTAAATAAATAACTTGTAAATTGAAGCATTGAGAATTCTTATAGAAGAAATTCTTGTTACTGGAGAAAAGATGTCAAAATAATTAATATTTTCTTTTTGTGTGAAACCTTTAGCAACCAACCTTGCTTTGAATTTATCAATAGAACCATCAGGAAAATGTTTTTTTTTCCTAAAAGCCCATTTACACCCAATAAGTTTTGCACCCAGAGGCAAATCTACCAAAATACAAGTTTTATTTTGATTAAGAGAATAAATTTCAGCTTTTATATCTTCTTTCCAAATATGAGCATCAGGAGAAGAAATGGCCTCATAAAAATTATATGGTTCATTTTGTACTAAATAAGTATAAAAATCATATGCAAAAGTATTTTCCTTTCTTTTCCTTTTATTTCTTCTCAAACCTTCACTTAAATTTCATTCGAAATTTGTTTAGAAGAAAAAGGAAAATTTTCTCCTCTTTGAGGTAAAAGTTGTTCCTTTAAAGGAAAAACACTTTCAAAAGATTCTACATCTTTGGTCTCTATAATAGTATTGTGATCCAGAATATCACTTTTCAAAACTAAAAATCTATAAGCAATACTATGTTCAGCATAACCAATAAACATACAATCAAAGGTTTTAGAATTCAATTTTCTCTTTTTAGAGTCAGGCAATAAAACTTTTGCAAGACACCCTCACACTTTTAAATAATTAAGATTTGGAGGAAAACCTTTCCAAAGCTCATAAGGAGTTTTATTCAACTTCTTATAAGAAATTATATTTTGTAAAAAACAAGCACATAATAATGCTTCACCCCATAAATTATCTGGTGCAGAAAAACTTACAAACATAGCATTCATCATTTCTTTTAAGGTTCTATTTTTCCTTTTTATAACATTATTAGACTCAGTTGAGCAAGGAGGAGTTATTTCATGAATAATACCTTCTGTTTCACAAAAAACATTTAATAAAATATACTCCCCTCCTCTATCAGACCTTACT